GAGTCACTGTCCGGTTGAAAATTGTATGTTACCACCGAATACGAGGACTGAAGCAGATTTTCTGAAACCACGTGCATCATTCAAACTGGCTGCCTTCAACGTTCGCACATTTATGCAGGTCGGACAACAGATAGGGCTGGCTATGTCTTTGGAAAGTCTTAATATCGACGTGTGTTGTCTATCCGAGACCCGTATTCAAGACTCTGGCGAAGTACTACAAATTCGATCTCCATCTGTCGCTTCGAAAAGCTTGTTTTACGTGCGCTTATCCGGGGACCCTGTGGCATCTTCGTCTGGTTTTGCTGGCGTTGGTGTCGCACTAAGCGCTAGAGCTGAGGCAGCACTAATTGATTGGATCCCCATTAACAGTCGGTTATGTGCTGTTAGATTAGAAAGTTCCATCAAAGTGAGAAGAAATCGGCGTGAGAAACGATGTCTTTTCGTCATCTCCGCCTATGCCCCGACAGATTGCAGCCCGGATGCAATCAAGGATGAGTTTTACCACCAATTATCTGTTCTTCTCCAGAAAGTGCGTTCGACAGATATTGTAGTACTAGCCGGAGACTTGAATGCTCAGGTCGGGCGTCTAGGCACAGAAGAGAGTCGTTTAGGTGGCCGATGGGGACTCGTTGGTCGCAGGTCAGATAACGGGGACCGTCTACTGCAACTTTGCGCAGACCACAACCTGTTTCTGGCTAGCACTAACTTTCGGCACAGTCATCGCCGATGTGCCACCTGGCGTCCTCCCTCTGCATCTCAAGCCTGGACTCAGATTGATCACATCGCGATCAGCTACCGCTGGCGTGGTTGTGTACAAGACTGCCGCTCCTTTTGGAGTACCTATCTGGACTCTGACCACGCCTTGGTCTGCGCCAATCTTGCCTTACTTTTCAGTGGACAACGAAGTGAACGCCATCAACGGATTGATGTTAGCAAGCTGGTTGCAACTTCTGTTGCAAGTAAGTATCGAACCGAGCTAGCCTCTAGGCTAGCTACCACTCCACCGAAAAGTATAGATGAGCATTGGTTGCAATTGCATGACGCCATGAAAATGGCGGGAACAGTCAGTTGTGGGTTTGCGAAACGTCCCGCTTTTAAGCACTGGGTTTCTTCTGGTTCCTTACAACTCATTGAAGCCCGTCGGTCTACTCCGGGTAACCGTGAGTTTGACCATAAACGAAGGTTTTTACGTAAGGAAATCGGGCAAAGCTTGCGTAAGGACCGAGAAGCCTGGTGGTCGATGCGTGCTAATGAGCTGGAAGCAGCAGCTGCATCTGGTAACTACCGGAAGCTCTTCCAACTCATCCGAGCCACTGGCAGCAAGAAGTCTGGTGTGAGTGAAACAATCTGCGAGGATGATGGGATGCCAATCACTAACATCCATCGACGTCTTGGACGATGGGCAGAATTTTTCGAAGGGCAGTTCAACTGGCCTGCTGCTCCGGTAACATCGGTCAGACTGTCCTGCCCTCCATGGCCGGTGACGACTGATCCACCAAATGAGGAGGAAGTCCGCAAGGAACTCCAACTCTTGAAACGTTACAAATCACCTGGCCCAGATGACTTACCTCCGGCTCTTTTTAAAGATGGTGGTGACTTTTTGACTAAGGAATTGACGACGTTGTTTACAAAGGTTTGGGATCTAGAGAGTGTACCAACGTCATGGAATGAGTCGATAGTTGTCCCTATCTTTAAAAAGGGTTCACGTCGTTCTTGTAACAACTATCGGGGGATAAGTTTACTTCCGATTGCGTCCAAGCTATTGGCTTCCGTCATTCTTCGTAGGTTGTTCAAAACCCGAGAAAGATTGACTCGCGAGGAGCAGGCTGGGTTTCGTTCTGGTCGAGGATGTATTGATCATATCTTCACCCTCCGCCAAATGTTAGAACACCGCCATACTTTTCAAAGGCCAACAATCGTTGTGTTTCTTGACATCAGGGCTGCCTTCGATTCGTTGGATAGGACTGTTCTCTGGGATTGTCTATTGAAGAAGGGTGTGCCTGAGAAGTTTATTAACATCCTAAAAGCCCTGTATAAAAACACCTCAGGCAGAGTGAGGGCATACAACCACCTCTCTCCATTGTTCCATTCGAGCAGTGGGGTTAGGCAGGGTTGCCCAATCTCACCATTCCTCTTCAACTTTGCCATCGATGACATTCTGGAAACAGCTCTGATGAATGTAAGTAATGGTGGTGTGGATCTGTTGCCTGGAGAAAGACTTCTCGACCTTGAGTATGCGGACGATATTGTCTTACTGTGCGATAATGCCCAAGGCATGCAATCCGCACTTAATCAGTTGGCAATCAATGTCCGTAGGTATGGTATGTGCTTTGCACCTTCGAAGTGCAAAGTACTTCTACAAGACTGGCAGGATCCCAATCCTGTACTCACCCTGGATGGTGAGCAGATAGACGTAGTTGAGAAGTTCGTGTATCTGGGTAGCTGCATAAGTGCTGGTGGGGGTGTGAGTGATGAGATCAATGCACGAATAGTGAAAGCCAGAGCGGCTTATGCCAATCTGGGCCACCTTTGGCGCCTTCGTGATGTCAGTCTGGCTGTAAAAGGCCGGATCTACAACGCGTCGGTGAGAGCAGTTTTGCTCTATGCTTGTGAAACCTGGCCTCTCCGAGTTGAGGACGTTAGACGACTCTCTGTGTTTGATCATCGCTGTCTCCGAAGGATTGCTGACATTCAGTGGCAACACCATGTTAGTAATGCAGAGGTTCGGCATCGTGTGTTCGGGCACAGAGATGATAACTCAATTGGTGTCACCATCTTGAAACACCGACTTCGGTGGCTTGGACATGTTCTCCGAATGTCGTCCCAGAGAATTCCACGTCGTGCATTATTTGCCGACTCTGGGACTGGTTGGAAGAAGCGGAGAGGTGGTCAGTGCATGACATGGTGTCGTGGCATGAAAGAAAGCTGCAAAGGACTGGCTTGTGTTGGTCCTTCACGACTCCCTGGTTGGGGTCCGAGAGATGGTGCAACACAGTGGCTAGAGACGTTATCAGATATGGCTCAGAATAGAAGCCAGTGGCGATCCTGCTGTAACCTTCTTTTACTTTCTTCATAAAAAGTGGTTGTGTCTCCTTTACCTGAAAGATTTCTTCTGATTGTACCTCTTCGTCATTACTCTCTTTTTCTTTTGCGTTCCTTAGTTTTTTTTTTTTTTTTCTTTTTCTTTCTACTTCTCTTCGAATTCCCATTGTTTTGTGTGGCGCATATATATTGGCGCTCTCTTGTACCAATATTTATGTGTTCAAATAAATAAATAAATAAATAAATAATGTGTGAGGGCTGTGATACTGCCCGGGTGCCCAAACCGAAGCGGGCGGTTTTCTTAGAGGACCACGCTCGGAGCCTTCGACTTAAAGGTCCGACGCACAAGGCAGCGGAGCATCGTAAGGAGATGCAGTCCCATGGTAGCCGGTCGGTTCATACGCCATTTGTCCCCTCAGGATACTGGAGCCCATGTGCACCATTGGTTTGGAATTAGGGTTTTCCAACTCTCCTAGGTGAACTCTCCATATCCACCAACCCGGTTAAAGTGCTGGACATTCGTGTTTCGTCCTCTCAATTTCGTAAACAACACCCACGCCACGAGAAGGCAGTAAAACTTACCTGTGAGTGGCTGTATACGCGTGGCCATTTAAGAGGGAGAGCATAATTTCTCACCGTCGGCCGTACCAGGGCACTTGGGGGTTACATTGTACATGACGTCACTTCAGTCATATTTCACGTTAACATATAACTTACGCTAGGATGCGATTTGACGCATAATTATTAGTATAAAAGATTTGTGTAATATCTAGGGGTTCGGAGTTAGAAATTTACACACTAATAGTTAATATCAGAAAAACTTGAAGATAAGTTTTATTATAATCAGTGTTAAATATATTAGCCAAAATGAAAAATAAAACAGAGTAACATAATAGTGCTCATTTAGTATTGCATATAATCTGAAAAGCTGATGAGGCGGTAGATTAAATGAAAAAAGCAAGACAGAAAGACGAGAAACAACTTTATCGAGAATTCCTTAGGAAATTCTGATAATAGAAGACCAATAATGAAAATCATATGCTTAAAAAAAGCTTACGTTTTCTTGAGAAACAGTTACTTTTATTTGAAATGTAATCAAATGAAGAAATCAACTGAAACCGGCATGACCAACTCCTAGTACAGATGATATATTGTGCCTAACAGAGAGATTTATAAGTATAATCTATAACGGCTTGATAAGAAGCCATAAATAGGTGTACATGTTCTGTAAGTGAAACTGTAGACAGAATTTCAAGGTTTTGTCGGTCTAAAAATATGATTAAATGTATTTTCATATAGATGCAGATGCATATAATACTAACTCAGCGCAAACGCGCAGATAAAAACGCTCAAAATAAAGCTTCAGAATTACACCATAATAGGTTTCCAAAAATAAAGTCAGAGAATATGGGGCCAAATTAACAACATATATACACATAGTTTAGCAATTTAACAAGTTTTGGAAAAGTAGGACAGAATCAGGTTTTGAAAAGAGTAGGAATACGTGCCGAAATGGATTATTTACAATCACTGAGAAACTAGTGATCTTGAGACAAAAATAAAACAATTATGAAAAACTGCACGTCAATGTAAACTAACAATGAGGTGAAAGAAACCAAACCACACAAAAATTATTTCAACTAATTCTAATTAAGTGATAAAACCGGCTTGACTCGTAACAACAAAAGGAAAAAATTAGAAATTAGACGGAAAAAGCAATTTGCTGATAAGATATAATGTTTTTATAAAGGTAAAAGTAGATACTTGAAGACAATAAACGAAACTGTATGATGGGGACGATGGAAACCATGTGTCAAATACAAGCAAGAGACGACGAAGAAATGAGGCTATAAAAGGCACCAAATAAAGATCCCTAAAATCAAGAATTGTTCAATGTTTGAGTGCAGGATAGATCATGTCTAAAAGATGTTTCTTGGAAAAATCAATGGAGAAGCCATTTACAATATTGAGCATCCCCATATTAGGCGTTTGGGTCGTTTGCTGGTTATATTTCTTATGTCTTCTCTAGGTGGGTTATTAAGGTTCTAAAAGTCAAACAAAAAAGCCCACATTAAATAAAATCGGCTTGAAGTTCCGTTAAGACCGCAAACAAAGTTATAGCATTAATAAGAAGTTTGGTTTCATACTCGTATAGCACGTTTTAGGTGAAGTCAATAAAAAAGACAAGAAAATTAGAATAAACGTTGTGGTGATGGGTTATATAACTTTTGATGCCTGAGTTCAAAGGTTATTGCTTAGGTCTGTAACTTGATCCCTATGAAGCCACAGGAACACAACTATCCAACTAACAATTACAGATACACACAAATATGGTTACAATGCTATAAGGCACATAGTCAGTGCTAGTGACATACCCTAGATACAAACTTTTTTAAGTGCAGATGAAATTTAGACATGATTTAATGTCTTTGAGCACAAGTGGGGCCGGACCTTGAGTCGATGTACATCTGTGTCAGGTCTTAACGTTGACTATGACTGACTAACATAACATCTAACTTTACAGGAAACATAAGGAACATAATCTTCGTTTTTTTACCTGATATAAGTTTAAACTGACTCCAGGACACTAAATAATCCCTAGTATCAACGTACAGTTATGCTGTTTGTAAATTTCTTCACTTTGTAAGCTTACATAATGATAATAACAAAAAAGACATTCACAAGTCTTCTAGAGGTTAATGTACTAAAATGTAGTGCTCTGTTTTGGTATCATATTGTAGACGAAAGTTTAATACTGGTATATATACACATAGACTGAATAAAATAACGGGGACTGCTCACAATATATAAACTTACAGCCTCCTGCTCCCTCTTCGTTTTTATTTTTCGGGCCAAGATTGTAAACGCTTCAGAGACGTTAATACCTCCTTTAGCACTGGTCTCAATAAAACTGATTCCATATGATTGAGCGAGCTGTAGAGAAATAGCGGAAAAACTTAGAAGAGAAATAAGTAAACTTACTAATTTATAATCTTATATGAATAACCAATACAATTGAGTCTCACGTATAAGCATCGTCACAACTACTCTGGTTTCATAGACGAAAACGATGTAACAGGTAACAATCCAAACAAGTCAATAAAATTCATACACAAAACATCCTGTTGCTGTTTGTCGGAAGTTATCTTAAAATTTCTCCTGACTTAAATACCTTTAAAGGGGAGTATGATGGAGAAAAACCGTGAATGTTGATCATGAATTAAATAATTGATCAGTTTAGATTCACTAAGAAAACATACTGCCTTGTATTATGAGCCATGTCAGTTGTTTAAGCACTAAAGATACTACCGTAATGAACTACACTCCTTGTATTTAATTAGTCGCTATCACTGGTATTGTTATTTCGATGCTTTAGATTACTGTTACTGTTTTGATATGAAGTGTTGCAACTTAGACTGATGTATATTTGTGCCAAGTCCTATGATGCTTGTACTAACCGTCTAGAGTAACTTAGGCTTAAAATTGTGACAGTGGTTGAAATTCAGGTACGTAAATAACTGAGTGAAAACTTGTATTTGCTGTATAAGCGAGTTTAAGAATAAAATCACGATTGAATGTTATCTGAAATAAGCTTATCACTAATTATTATTAATTGGTTTATTTAATACTATATATTTAGTAAAATATGGTTATCTGACATACAGAACATATCCATACTTTTAAAATGGATGAATACTTTTACTAACCTTATAACCATTTTCATACTTTACTACTCTTTGTGCTTCCAGATCGCATTTATTCCCAAGTAGCATCTTCGCTACGCCTTCATTGGTATGCTAAAAAAATTGTTTATCGAAGTGAAGATTATAAGAACAACAGGCCGATTATAACAAATTAAGTTTGAGTGTAACTTTATGATCGCATTTAGAAGAGGTTGTCAGCTACTGTAACTTCTACCTTAATGGGATAGTAAGACTTGTATATTGTGATGACCCAACTTAACCGGAACATTCGTTTCTTCAGGTTCTAACACGAAAAGCAACAACCTGCTGATTGTATAGGGATGACGACAGTGAGATTTTCTTTTCAGATGACCAGCACAAATGGTGCTCTGCCATACCAAAAAGGGGGTGTACAGAAAGTCAACCGTGAGAAAAGCCCACATTCTACTACAGAGGTTGTCACCCCCAGCAAATTACCTCAGAAGTACGGAGCACACTCGTGGATCAGTTCAAAAAGGTAAATGCAATCAGTTGCTTCTAGGGTTCTTCAGTCACACTTCCACGTTGCTAAGAGTGCTATTAATCCCGTTCGCTTGTTAGGTACCTTAAGGAAGTATCCTTTTAAGGTGTGTAGTTAGGAAGTGATAACCACCCTGGCACATAAAAAAATGCGAGATCTACTAGTTTATAATCAAACCCCATTTTTATTACGACACACTCCTGCTTCCACTATCAACTCTTATTCTTTGTCCTCGACTTTTTCCACATGTGCTGTCAGGTCTAAAGATTCGAGTTCCCGAAACGCACTTCGAGATCTGCTGAGACGGCTATTTAAACTATATGTTGGACATGTGTTACGCATACTCAACTGTCACCAACCCCGACAGACTATGATTACCAGTGTATTAGGTCGGAAGAAAGTTAGGGAGGTTAGACTAAGATATGGGGTTACTGACAGGCAAGAACACGAAAAATTGGTAAGACCTATTCTAGGACACTGCGAAGACTATATCCCATAGACTGAAAAGTGACGCATATCCTGAAAAATGTGGGAACAGTTTCACAGACAATGTTTAAGGCACGCGGTTCGAAAATTACGATTTTTCCATATTAACTTACGGTAGATTAAGATGCGAACTATTCATAATGAGGTAGCAAGAAAAGAAACTGAATATTATATATACTTTTACCCGACCGTTGTTGCTACCTTGACGTGGTGGTCGGGCTTGCCTATCGTGATGAAGCAACTGAGCTATACTGACTGGAACAACTGTTCCTCAAGGTCCTACCACGTCAGAAAGGTCGATTGAAGAGCAGTAAGACTAAAACCAACAAACCTAAGGTCCGAAGGCGAAGTCGTACTGCTGACTGTATAGAGGTGTGACAGCAGTAAGGTATTTCCTTCAGACAGTCAGCATGACAGCGATGCTGCCTTCCCTCAAGGAGGGGTGGGGTTAGAAAAGGTCGACCCTAAAATGCACACCTCGCCTTAACCCACGGATATCCGTCTCCGGCGTTAAGGTCTCAACAAGTACGCAAAAATTACTCATAAAAAGGTCATGTGTGACCGATCTCAAGCAGTTGCCCCTTGGGCACTGCGGTCACGCTTTCAGGTTACTAAGACCACCTTTAATTCAATTTCCTTTTCAGGTACCTCCAGAAGAACCCTTCCACGGTGTGGGCAACCGGGAAGTGATAACCACCCTCATACCTCTAACAGCACTCAAGACCACTGTATTCATAATCAACCTCCCTCTTCAATTCCTATTATTCCTCCTACATCAACTTCAAACCCTAAACTTCCTCTTTCGGCTCCCCCCTCAAGTGTCACCATAGCCAACGATTCTAGTGCTCAAAACACTGTCTCAGGTCTACTGAAACGTCGCTCCACACTATACATTGAAGCCTTCAATGTACGCACCCTATGTCAAATCGATCAGCAGGCTTCCTTGGCTAAAACCCTAGAATCTCGTGCCATTGATGCATGCTGTGTCTCCGAAACACGCATACAGGATCCCAATGTGGTCATTCACTTGACCTCACCTCGGCAAAACGGAGAGCCAACGAGATACACCCTCCGTGTATCTGGTGACCCGATGGCCAGTTCTCGTGGACTGGCAGGTGTAGGCATAGCACTAAGCATGAGAGCGGAACAAGCACTATCAGAGCGGATCCCCGTCAACAGTCGTCTATGTGCTGTTCGGTTAAACGGCTCCGTAAGAACTCGGAAGGATAGGGATACACGTCGTTGCCTTTTCGTCGTTTCTGCCTACGCTCCCACCGACTGCAGCTCAGATGAAGTGAAAGATGAATTTTACAGAAAGCTTTCTGAACTTCTTCAGAAAGCTAAACGCTCAGACATAGTACTCGTAGCAGGTGACTTTATTGCTCAGATAGGTAGCTTAGACCAAACAGAAAGGCATTTAGGTGGATATTTTAGCATTCCGGCACAGCGAACAGATAATGGTGACCGGCTGCTGCAACTGTGCTCAGACAATCGCTTATTTTTAGCAAACAAATTTTAAGCATAAGAAGAGACATCGTCTAACATGGCGACCCCCTACACCAAACCAACGATGGACTCAAATAGACTATATTGCCATCAGTCATCGTTGGAGAGGGTCGGTAGAAGATTGTCGCTCATTCTGGAGTACCTGCTTGGACTCCGATCACGCCCTAATACGGGCACGCATCTGCTTGCGCCTCACTGGACGCAAAAAAGCCACACTAAAAAGACCCATTAGAACCGAACTGAGTAGCGAGGAAACCAAAAGTAGGTTCTAGGAACAACTGAGGTCACGATTAGGTAGTTCTGAAAACGAGGTTGACCCAGTTGTTGCTTGGAAAGCCATACATACAGCTGTGGAAATAGCGGTGACATCTATCAATGATTTAAACCACAGGGTTAAAAAGAACCAATGGATTTCTTCAAAGTCTATCACACTGATGGATTCTCGCAAACGCGTCCCATCAGGTTCCGAACATGATGAAGAGCGACAACAAATCAGATCTAAATTAAGAAAAAGTCTAAGAAACGACCGTGAGCAGTGGTGGGCAATGAAAGCAAAAGAGATGGAAAAGGCGACGACTATAGGGAACACAAGACAGCTTACAGATTAATAAAAGAAACTGGAATTAATAAGTGTAAGTGAGATTATATCGGAAAAAGACGATATTCTCATCTGCTCCCAGTCCAGACGTTTAGAACGATGGGCGGAACATTTTAGGGAACAGTTCAGCTGGCCTTCAGCGACTCTACAACTACCCTCCATTCCCAGACAGTGTGAATGGAACATTGAAGTAGGTCCCCCAACTCTAGCAGAAGTTCAAAAGGCTATAGTTAATCTGAAACGAGGAAGGGCAGCTGGTCCAGATGGATTGGCTCCAGAGGTCTTTAAGGATGGTGGTCCAATTTTAGCGACTAGGTTGACTAATATTTTAGCTAAGATCTGGGAGTTAGACGTTATTCCATCTGACTGGTCACAATCACTTATCGTCCCAATACATAAGAGAGGGTCAAAATCATCCTGTGACAACCATTGAGGGATTAGTTTAACTAATATAGTATCTAAAATACTAGCTTCGATAATTATCAGACGCTTAACTAAGACTCGTGAACTGCAAACACGAGAGAATCACGCAGATGATATAGTCCTGTTTGGTGAAGACGCTGACAAAATGCAGAGTCTTTTGGTAGCGCTAAGCAGCAATGCCAGTGTATACACTCCCTGTCTTCCCTTAAACTAAGAGATTAAAATCACTTCATATCTTTCTTTCTACTAACTACTTCTTTCTTCATGTACTGTATCATTATATGCAGTCTTTCTCCTATATATTACCACCTTTGACCTAATCACTCCTATGAATCCGGTGTTCATCTTGCTGTGCTAATGATGTATGGCAACCTGGATCGATGCATATATGTGCCTGGTTCTACGTTGTCGATGACTGACTGATATATGCTTTTTTAGCCACATCAAAACAACTCAGAGGGCGGATAAACAGAGAGTTTGACTGTTAGTACAGATAGTGATTGCGTAATTAACTCTAAACGGTTAGAATCTATAAGCAGTGGTGGTATCTTTTGCTTATTGATTGAATAAAGGGTAGACTTTTATGTAAGTTTTAATACTATAACAAGAGTACATTCCAAATCTTATTCCACGATCACATATTTTGTTTAGTAATATCCATCACATCTGCATCTTACTGGACGTAGAAAAACCACAGCAAGAAAACTCCCTAGAGTTCAACTTAATAATGAGAAAGTTGTGAACATTTTTCAGGGACAACTAGAGATAGTCGACCGTGAAAGTGATATTCATGTCGAGGTAGCTTTGTATGGTGGGTAGCAGGAGCGGAAAAAAATGGAGAAGACAATAGTAATAGGTAACAGTGTGCAACTGTTCAAACTAATCAAGGAGACAGGTATTAAGAATCCAGGTGTTAGTGAAACTATCTCGGTAAAAGATGGGGGTATCACTCAGTCTCAATTCAGGGGATCGAACTGATGGACAAATTATAAGAATAACAAGCCTATTATAACAAATTAAGTTTAAGTGTAACTCTGTGATGTAAGTTCTCCAACTCTTGGTGAGGTTGAAAAGGCTATAAGAAATCTAAAGTGATGGAGAGCAGCAGGGCCTGATGATCCAGTTTTAGCAGTCAGGTCAACTAGGCTTTTAGCTAAAATCTGGGGACTGGACGTAATCCTCTGACTGGTCCCAATCTATAAGAAAGGATAAAAATCCCCTTGTGACAATCACAGAAGAACCAGTTTACCCAATATAGTGTCTAAAATATTAACCTCAATAATACTTCGATGTTTAACTAGAGGTCGTGAAGAACAAACCCGAAAAAACCAGACCGACTTCAGACTCGAACCTGAATGCATAGACCAAATATTCACCCTTTGGTAGACTCGAGAACACGAATATACTTCTCGACGTCCAACTCTATTGACCATGAGGTTCTGTGGCAGTGTCTGTTGTTCAAAGGCGTCCCAAAGAAGTAGATTAACCTTGTACAGGTTCTCTACTCGAACACTGCTGGTCGAACCAGGGCTAATGGCGAACTGCTATCGGAATTGGTTATTTCAAGTGGTGTTTGTCAGGGTTGTTTTGTTTTCCCATTTTTATTTAACTTCGTCATAGGCATGCTTTTAACTACAAAACTTTCATCGTATGGCTTTTTAGGGGTTGGCCTTTGGCCACGAGATTCACTTGTTGACTTAGAATACACAGATGATGTAGTCCTGTTTGATGAAGACGCTGACAAAACACAGTCTTCTGACCATCTTAAGCAACAATGAAAACATGTTTGAGATGGGATTCTCTTTTCTCAGGCTCAGAATGTCACTTCAGGATTGGCTTGCATCAGAACCCGAATTAATGATAGGAAGTGAAGTATTTGAACACATCTACCGCTTCACTTATCTTGAGAGTCTCATCAATACTGATGGTGTGGTGTCCGAGGAAATCTCGTCACGGATTCCTAAGGGTCGATTGACCATCGCTAAGGTGCGTCACTTTCAGTGTAGGAGAGATATCTGTCTTCCAAGCAAAGAGTGAGTTCACTGCTCACTAGTCTTCTCCGTTCCAGTTTATGGATGTGAAACATGGTCATTAGGAATGGGGGATATTCGTAGGTTATTGGTATCAGACCATAGGTGTCTTCGAAGCATTGCTCGTGTATTTTTGGACCACAGAGTGAGCGATGAGTGGGTTAGGAATAAGCTACTAGGTAAGGATGAGAAGCGGATTGATGATGCAGTCAATCTTCACCAACTGAGGTGGTTGGAAGGTGTTACACATTTCCAACTACTGTCTACCTCTACGACTCACGTTTTCGAGGGTAGGTGTAGTCTGAAAGAAAGCTAGTGTCGGCCAAAACAAAACATGGGATCAGTCCATGAAGTGACTGGAAATTGGACTCAGCAGTGTCCATGTGACTATCATAATTAATGGTTGTGGACTATGAACGACATGAGTGGAAATTGTTTGGAATGACGCAGGTGTATGGGTTCTTTGTCTTCCTCCATATTCTGCGATTCCCGATTGGTTACAACTTCTTTGGTTTTTATACCACTAATTTATACTTTGCTCTCGAATAGTATTTTCACTGTGTAACCTTTTGTAATACCATGGATACTGCTGCTGCCTCTATTATTCTGGGTTCTAGCATTACAATTTTATCTCCGTGGTAATGGGATATGGTGACTTGGATCGATGTACAAAAGTACTAGGATCTAAGTTTACTCATTGACTGAAATTTTGTTCACTTTTTCAGTTCCAATAAGTTTGTAATTGGATAAAAGACTCTAAGCATAAACTAACAGTTTGACTGCACTAAGAAAGTTCAAAATTGAACTAGGTCCTTCGGTTACAAACTGGAAGTTTGTTCCTTGAATAGATGTCGTATAATGACCCCATACTTTGATGTGAAGTTATTGCACTCTCTACGCATCATATGATTGGGATTACAGAATAATCCTGAAAGTTGAAGGGGCTAACCAAGTCCGCTTGCTTTATGTTAAACGGTGGTCTATGTAAAAACACTCTAGTGCAAGTGCCTAGCAGGGTGACATAAGCATGGTACTTTTAAAGACTTACCTCGGTTATGTTGTTCATCCAGGTAGTGATATTATGGTAAGAATCTATATTAGTAACGTCGTAAACAAGCATGATACCCTGGGAAATAAGTGCGAACTTTGTCACAACTTACCATCGCACCACGATAATAAGCCGTTGTTATAGTTCGAAAACGCTCCTGACCGGCAGTGTCCCATATCTGCAACTTAATTTTTTTCCCATCAATTTCTATGGTGCGAACTTTGAAGTCAATGCCTTAAAAGTTATGAGTGTACCATGACAAATACATTACCTATGGTCGCTATGAAGGTTTTGCTGAAACTATTATCGGAAAACCGAAGGAGAAGGTTTGTTTTACCAACGGATGAATCGCCAACAAGTAAAAGCTTATACATTTCATCGTAATCCTTTGTACCATTTGGAGCCTTAGCCATTTTAACATAACCTGATTAACCCGCTGAATCAGCTGCAGGATAAACAAGCGTTGATCAACATAATAAGTGACATATGCAAACAATAAACAATATCATATTTTTTAATTTTCCTCAGCACTTTTATTAGTAATTGCAAAAAACATATAGGAATGCATGGAGGGTTTTTAAATTTTAGCCACATGGGTGATGGGCTTATTGTTCACAAAGTTTTGGAGGCTTTTCAACTCTCGAGACTATAAAGTCATAATTTTGGGGTTGGATAATGCTGGAAAATCTACTATTTTGTACCAATTCGTTCTCAAAGAAGCTGTACAGACTTCTCCCACCATTGGAAGCAATGTTGAGGAAGTAAAGTGGAAGAATCTGCATTTCGTAATGTGGGATATTGGTGGACAAACTTCTGTTAGGGCTTCCTGGACCACATACTTTGCAGGCTCAGACGTATTTTTCAAATATATGTTAACTGCATGTAGTTTGTCATTTTAGTTGTTGACAGTACAGATCGAGAACGTCTATACCTGACTAAACAGGAGCTGTGTAAACTACTAGTTGCTGAGGTAAGTAAAATACGATGTCTAGTTTATTTTAGGAGTTGAAACGCTCGAAAATGTTGATTTTTGCCAATAAACAAGATGTCTCTGGCTGCATGTCTGTTGCTGAAATCAGTCACAATCTAAACCTTACGTCTATTAGGGACCACCCATGGCATGTACAGCCTTGTTGTGCACTCACAGGAGAAGGGTTCGTCATTTATTTTGGTTTTTTATCCATTCAGTTTTGTGTTCATGACAAGTACATGTATTTTGTTGATTTTACGTTTACTTCATATACTAATTTTCGTTCCGTTTGTCAAGGTTTTATCTTTATTACGTTTCATGGAAACCTACATATGTTTAAAATGTATGAAATATTTCATAAGATGACGAATATGTCCAAAAATCAAAGCGAATTGTGTAACTTTTGCTTGCTTCAAGGTTGCTGGTGTTACGAAACTGTCATCATTTTGCCTAACGTCACGTTATTGCACTTGCCGGTCTTGCAAACTGCTTTACACAGACTACACTTTATCTATGCGTCACAGCCATGCATTCTGATTATCTCTGAAGCAGTAAAAACATTTATCTAGTTCCATTAACATTTCTTTATCAAGTTCATTGTCTTTCGAAAAAATTATAACATCCTTAAATGTCATCTGAATCAGGAGAGTTTATGTGCTATATTCTGGACTACGGTACAAGATATTACTCGTATACAGGATTCTTCTACCTTGTCTGGAAATCCATATGTAATAAAGAATTAAAGCTGGAAAGGATTTTCTGTTCACGAATGTCTCTTTGTGGTGTGCTATCTCAGGAAAGGCAAAAGATCACGTTTGAACCGTCCAGTTAAATGCTGTACTACAAACAGTGTCTAGTCGTTCACCAAATAATCTTTTCGTCTCTATCGACTAATCTTTAACATTTATTGTGGGTTTGAAATTAGTGATTGTATCTTTAATTACTGTGATAAATGAGAGGTTAGAGGTGGTCTTGGGTGCTGTTAGAGGTATGAGGGCGGTTATCACTTCCCGGTTGCCCACACCGTGGAAGGGTTCTTCTGGAGGTACCTGAAAAGGAAATTGGATTAGAGGTGGTCTCAGTGACCTGAGAGCGTGACCGCAGTGCCCAAGGGACAACTGCTTGAGGCCGGTCGCGCACGGCCTTTTCGTGGAAGGTTTTCGACGTGTTAGCTCCGTTCTTCAAAGGGCCTTACCGCCGGAGACGGAAATCCGTGAGGTAAGGTGAGGTGTGCATTTTTAGGGTCGACCTTTTCTAACCCCACCCCTCCTTGAGGGAAGGCAGCATCGCTGTCATGCTGGTTGTCTGAAGGAAACACCTTACTGCTGTCACACCTCTGTACAGTCAGCAGTACGACTTCGCCTTCGGACCTTGGGTTTGTTGGTTTTAGTCTTACCGCTCTTCAACCGACCTGTCTGACATGATAGGACCTTGAGGAACAGTTGTTCCAGTCAGTATAGCTCGGTTGCTTCATCACGATAGGCAAGCCCGACCACCACGTCAAGGTAGCAACAACGGTCGGGTGTGATAAATGAAGAGTCTGTTAGGTTTGAAGCTTCACGAGTTCACTTAATCTGCGAACGAGAACAAGACTCAGTGACCAAAGACCAGTAATCTAGCTATTGATGCGTTCCAGCCCCGCTACCTAGAAGGCGAAGTCCAAACTTGGCATGGGAAATATCTTCTGCAAACAGCCAGAAAAAGAGCGAGCCCACAAACACAATTTAAAACTTATACAAATATATATAACCGATATTGTCATAGAAAATTTTTAAACATTAATCAATGAGTTCATCACTTGACTGCTATTTAATCAGTTAATCGATATGATAAAGTTACAAATATGAGTTTCTGGGATATATCGTCCCTAACAGAGTCCAACTAGTTTCTTAGCATCCGAATACTAAATTTAGAGCCTAAACCGATCAATCAATCAAGTTGGCTTGTAACTATTTTGTCGTTATTGTTTACATTTTTCACAACTTAACATTGTTCATATGTATCAAAATGAACTGTTAGTGAATTCACTTAGACTAATAAGAGTAGAGGACCACTGTATTTTGAAGTACTCCGCTTTTATGTGTCTGTCAAAATACCATACAACCTACTATTACTGTCTTCTATCACAGAAAATTTTCAGTTGTCTCAAACGCTATTATCGATTCTAAAACCTTCCCGCTTCATCGTGAGACTGCTAAATATTGGTTAGGGTTTTACTGAAATGTGTAGATACTATATTGACGTCTGTTGTCTATCCGAGACCCGTATTCAAGACTCCAGTGAAGTACCACAAATCCGCTCTTCATCTGTCGCCTCGAAAAGCTTGTTTCACGTGCGTTTTTCCGGGATCCCTGTGGTATCTTCTGGTTTTTCTGGTATTGATATCGCACAAAGCGCTACAGCTGAGGTGGCACTGATCGATTGGATCCCAATTAACAGTCGGTTGTGTGCTATTAGATTAGAAATTTCCATCAAAGTGAGAAGTCGATGTGAGTAACAATGTCTTTTTGTCATCTCCGTCTATGCTTCGGCAGATTGCAGCCCGGATGCAATCAAGGATGAGTTTTACTACCAGTTAACAGTTCTTTTATAGAAAGGGTGTTCGGCAGATGTTTTAGTACTAGCCGGAGACTTGAATGCTCTGGTCGGGCGTCTAAGTACATAGGAGAATCGTTTAAGTGGCTGAGGGGAACTTGTTGGTCGCAGGTCGGGTAACGGGGACCGTCTACTGCAACTGTGCGCAGACTATAACTTGTTTCTGGCCCCCGAATGCTTGATACGGCTGAGGGTAGGGAGAGTCTGCTCCCTCTCGAAATTCTCTCACATGGCCACGCGTATACAGCCACTGACAGGGAAGTCCTACTCATTGCATTCTCGTGGTAGGGGTGTTCTTTACGAAATTGAGAAGACAAAAAGCGAATGTCCGGTGCCTTAACCGGGTTGGTGAACACGGAGGATCTACCTAAGTGAGTTGGAAAACCCTGATTCCAAACCAATGGTGCACATGGGCTCCATTATCCTGAAGTAAAAAATGGCGTATGAACCAATTGTTGGTCACCAGCTAACATGGAACTGCATCTCCCAACTTTGCTTCTCTGCCTTGTGGATTAGACCTTTAGGTCGAAGGCTCCGGGTGTGGTCCCCTGAGAAAACCACTCGTTTCGATTTGGGAACCCTGGCAGTATTATAACCTACAGACAAATCAAGTGACTTGTGTGGCTCATATTTATTCAGTGCCCTTTTGTACCAATATTTGTGTTCAAGTAATGAATAATAAGTACTAACTACTGGTACAGTCATCGTTGATATGCCACCTGGCATCCTCCCTTTGCATCTCAAGCCTGGACTCAGATTGACACATCGCGATGAGCTACCACTAGCGTGGTTGTGTACAAGACTGCCGCTCATTTTGGAGTACCTATATGAACTCTGATTATGTCCTTGTTTTCGCTTATCTTACCTTACTTTTCAGTGGCCAACAAATTCATCGACCTAAACGGATCGATGTCAGTAACTTGATTGCAGCTTCTGTTGCAACTAAATACCAAATCGACCTAGGTTCAAGGCTAGCTAACATCCTATCGAAAAGTATAGATGAGCATTGGTTTCAATTGCATGACGCCATGAAACTGGCGAGTAAAGTCGCTTGCGGCTTCGCGAAACGTCCCGTTCATAGGCACTGGACCTCTTCAGGTTCCTTACAATTGATTGAATCTCGTCGGTCTACTCCGAATGACCGTAAGTTCGACCGCAAACGCAAACTGTTACGTAATGAAATTAAGCAGAGCTTGTGTAAGGGGCGAGAAGCCTGGTGGTCGGAGCGTGCCAATGAGTTGGAAGAAGCAGTTGTATCTGGTAACTGCCAGAAGCTCTTTTAACTCATCCGATCCACTGGCAGCAAGAAGTCTGGTGTGGGCGAAACAATCTGTGAAGCTGACGGGATGTCAATCACCAACATCTATTGACGTCTTGGACGATGTACAGAGTTTTTCGAGGGACAGTCCAACTGGTCTACTGCCCCCTTCTGAAGGTACCTGAAAAGGAAATTGGGTTAGGGGTGGTCTTAGCGACCTGAGAGCATGGCCGCAGTGCCCAAGTGACAACTGCTTGAGGTCGGTCACACACAACGTTTTTATGCGTAATTTTCGTGTTAGATCCGTACTTGTTGAGACCTTACGGTTGGAGACGGATATCCGTGGGATAAGGCGGGATGTGCATTTTTAGGGTCGACCTTTTCTAACCCCACCATTCCTTATGAGAAGGCAGCGTCTCTGTTGTGTTGGTTGTCTGAAGAAAACATCCTACTGCCGTCGCACCTCTGTACAATCGGCAGTACGACTTCGCCCTCGGACCTCGGGTTTGCCACTCTTCAACCGACCTATCTGGCATTGTAGGACCTTGAGGAACGATTGTTCCAGCCAGTATAGCTTGATTGGTCCATCA